TTTGATCCAGACTGATCCAGATTTGAAATTGTTCTGACGTCAGAAACGGGGTGCTCCGCCTATATGGGCAACTCTCCACCTATCAGGGGAATTTGCGTGGCATGGTAACAGCATGGTAACATGACGCTCATGCCTCGCCCCCCTCCTTTGCAAAGGGGCGTGGTCAGCTGCAGCTCATTTGCCACAGAATCAGCCCTTGTGAAGACAGGGCTGGAATAGAGCGAAATGAGGCATGGCTAAAATGCATGATCTGTTTGGTATTTAAAAAAAACAAAAAAACTTCACAGACATGTTTTATATAGGTATGGCCCTATAATATATGTTTCAAATATAGCATGATAGGTCCACTTTAACTCTGCTCCTTCTTGCAAGAATAAATGATTATTGATTCTCAACCTGGTGGCGAGTGATATTTTACTAACACTATCCCACATTGAATACTATTTGACAAACTGGTCGTTTGCTTGTACCACAAATCTTAAACCCATAGAACAGCTGAACAAGAGAGCTATCAAGGTGTTTGACAGAAAGCCTTATTCATACCACCACTGTACCATCCTTGAAAAACACAATTTCTTGAGTTTTGACCATTTTAAGTCTTTTAAAAGTATGTGTTTTTTTTATAAATGTTTACATGGACTGCCCCCCCCCTCCCTTAGTGGAATTCATCCACAAAAAAGACACGGGACGCTGCACTAGGTCAGAAACCAGAGGAGACTGTGAAGCCCACCGCAGACGGACCACTTTTGGACAAAATGTCCTCTCCGTTAAAGGCAGCTCATTGTGGAATAGCCTCCCAACTGAGACACGGGATTGTCCCACTCTCAATAGCTTCAAAGGTCAACTCAAAGAAGGGTTGAGAAACAAACAGACGTGCAATCACCGCTAAATGCACTTTAACACAGGGGAGTCTCCTCTTGCACTTTATGTATCTCTTGTATCTCCTCTTGCACTTAATATGTCGTTGCTGCTATATTGTACTGCCATGTGGTAAATACTTGTGTGTGCTGCTCTTGCTCTTTTGCATATCATATTTATTTTTTGCTATGTCTACAAATGTCATGTTCTTATATGTTGTATGTCAGGGATATTACGTTTGGAAATTAGCTCAAAGCTAAAATCCGGCATATTTACACTTGAAGCATTATTTGTCTAAAGTGTTCATTAATGTCCCTGTTCAAATAAACGATTACATAAAATAAATGTATGTCTCTCCAAAAGACCTCAATAACAGGGCAGTCCCAGACAACATGATAATGATTTGCATTTGAATTTCCACATTTTCTCCAGCCGTCTGGGGAGGTGCCACCATAATGAGACTTCTGAGAGAGTCTTATCAAATATATTTTCAGGCTTTTCCAATAAAACTCCCTCCAGTTGTGTGAACTGGTACATTTCCACTGATATTTCAATATTGTTGTCCTACTGTATGTGTATTAATCTTTTACTTTGCCGCCTGTGACTGGTTGTGTCAGATTGTTAGTGCTCTGTTAACCCGACACGCAGCCGGACGTGTGGATTAGAGTCAGATTCAGGCGCTCGTCTTCTATTCTGAGATTCCCCAGAAGGAGAAGCCTGTTAATTTAGCTGCTATAAATACAGGACCTCCTCCTAGCAGGTCACTCCCAGACCTGCTGCATGAAGCTGGACTGTGCTGACAGCTCCGTGTGCGTGCGCTTCATAATGGATAGCCTCCAACTCAGTGGGGCATGGCTTGTGGTGCCACAGTGACATTTGGACACAGCCAGAGCTGGCTTTCTCGTTTCTTTCTTTATCCTTAATTTTCAATTTTGTTTATGTTTAGCGCTTTTTACTGGAGGCTTTATGAAAAATATACACCAATATAGTTCATGAAAGACTGAAAAACAGCTGATCTTGACATTTGAGATTTTTTTCTACAAATGTAATATACTTGATGTCATAGTAATTCATTTCAACATTTCATTTGTTATCATTATTATTGTCAATTAATCAACTCATCAAAAATGTAATAGTAGTCGTATATTTCTTTATATGCATTGTTATATTGCATACACTAGATATCCATCATTTCATTGATAATATGAATATATTTGCTATATCTTCTTATCTTTAATTCAAGTGCAATGCCTTGTTTACATACAAAACGATTTCCCAATTTGTGATCAATAAATTATACTTACCTTATCTCATCTAAACAAACGGTGTATTAGATATAAAGACCCTCTTAGAATATCAGTTAAGTATTCACTGCATACAAATCAACATACATGTCTGCTTTGAATGTGAATGACTAATTCTCTCTCGCGGAAACAGACACTTGAATGAATGAAAAACAACTCGGCCAATAAACTCTCATAAACAAACTTGATCTGTAAAATAAATGCTCCACTTTGCAGACATCCAGCAGTTATCTGCCATCCATCTCTGTTCAGACGCTGTAATTCTGTCTCCTTTGTCCCGCAGTCAAGAATATAATTGGTTTTCTGTCAGTGAAAGTTTTTTTTAATGGCAGGCTTATTTGTGTAGCTACATTGTGTTCAACAGCCACAGTTTACATTTTACACGACTCTAGACTGATCATTATCTTCATCAGTATAAGTACCCTCAATCATGCTCTCATTTGGTCTGATAATTCCTCACTCTGGCTGTGTTGCTGTGGAGAAATCTGTTATGTTGTATGCATGCCAGACATATTACTAACAATGTGTTTAGGTTTGAAAGAATAGTTTTAAAGAGGACATGTGTGGCTTCATTTCAAGTTCACATGTGTTTGTTCTGCGTCTCCTGGGACATGTCTCCATGCTTTAATGTTCAAAAAGCACTTTATTTTTCTCGTACTGCCTGTGCTGCAGCACCTCTTTTCACCCTCTGTCTGAAACCAGAGCCTAGTCTGTTCTGATTGGTTAGCTGGCCGGCTCTGTTGTGATTGGTCAACCGCATAGAGATGTCCCGCCCTTAGCTTATCACATACAATGTGTTGGAGAGCTAGCCAATAGAAGCGCAAGAGTTACACAGAGATTTTTACCTTTGCAAACCATTTACATGCACAAAAACCTATACAACACACTAGAGGAAAGGGACAACTGCAAAAGCACAACAGGGCCCCTTTAATGTGTGATTTTCTGCTCTTAGCGTTCATCTCCATGCGGAGCGAGTGTGGTTATATTCCAAGAAGTAAGTTCCAACACTTTGGTTAATCAGAGACAACACAAGAGAAGAGCACTGTGTCAAGGCGAAAAATCTGCTTCCAAATGTGGACTTTAATGTGCAAACTGCATGCATTTCTCTCCCACTGCGCCTCTGTGGGACAAAGAGATGGACTGGTGCTAACAAAGGGACAGGTAGAAAGAAGAAAGGGGGTCTGAGGGAGAAGAAAGGAAAGCCGATGGAGGAGGGTGAAGTGGAACGGATGGAGAGAGAAGGCGGAAGAAAATGAGCACTGAAAGTATAAAAGCTTAAATCAAAAGAATAATTCCTAAGAATCAGGCAGAGACATAGAGTGAGAGGAGAGGGAGAGATTAGAGGTAGAGAATGTGCATTTATCAGCTTGTTATCGTATCACTGAAGACGAGGAGGAGCACACACACTCCAGCGGTAGGGCAGATGCTGCGCGGCATTTGATCATTTGCTCATTATAATCACAAAGTAACAGACCCTGAAAGACGACCATGCTGATCAATATTCCTGAGCTTGAGGCAATGAATGTGCAAATGAACAATTCAAAAGCTTGAGGAAGAGCAAAGGCACCAACACTCAAGGTCAACTTGGCTCTGCTTCTGCTTGGACTTTGTTTGATTCTTGGATCCCTTTCGTGCTCTCTCATCCCTCTCAGCTCTCATGTTGCTGTCTACTGTTTTGAGTTCAAGCATACAGTGTGTGTGCTCTGCTGGCAGACTGAAGAGGGGCTTAGAGATTTGTTTAAACTCTGGACAGAGTTCCCAGAGGCAGAGCCAGACCGCTTGAGGAACCTTTACAGTCTGCATGTGTTTAGGTTTGTGAGTGTGTGCATGTGTCTACACCAAGCATACAGAGTGTAATCTGCCCCACATAAGCCAGGTCAAATTTAGTTTAATCATATGTTATCCTTCCCTTTGAGAAAGCAGTTCGATGAAAGGGACCGCGGCTAGATGTGTGAGCCTGGAGTCTCTCATTTGGGCTGCAGACGTTCATGTTCTACAGCTTCATTTTGTATTCTCGCACTTGAGATGTGCCGCTCCCTGTGTGTGTGTGTGTGTGTGTGTGTGTGTGTGTGTGTGTGTGTGTGTGTGTGTGTGTGTGTGTGTGTGTGTGTGTGTGTGTGTGTGTGTGTGTGTGTGTGTGTGTGTGTGTGTGTGTGTGTGTGTGTGTGGTGTGTGTGTGTGTGTGTGTGTGTGTGTGTGTGTGTGTGTGTGTGTGTGTGTGTGTGTGTGTGTGTGTGTGTGTGTGTGTGTGTGTGTGTGTGTGTGTGTGTGTGTGTGTGTGTGTGTGTGTGTGTGTGTGTGTGTGTGTGTGTGTGTGTGTGTGTGTGTGTAGTTGGTACTAAATGATTCAGCATCTATGAGTCTGCTCAGCGAGGGTGGGCTCCTGGGTGAGAGGGCAAAAGGCCATGTGTTTGAATACTGTCCATAACACAACTGACACACCCACGCACACACACACACACACACGCACCTCTGAACACAGAGTCCTGAGTGCTTTCCGAGACACACCTCACTAATGTATCCCGGAGAAACCTGTAATGTACTCCAGTCTCAGAAAGAGCGAGAAGTCATGCCTATACTCCCATTGCACTTCTCTTATTATGTCTTTCTCCGTTGGCCAAACACATTGACATCAATCCATCATTTACATTTCTTTACGATTGCTTGATTTTGAAAACAGTGCTGTGTGTAGTGTTTTGCAAAAAGTGTGCTTAGATCTGGTATTAGTTTTTGCTCCCTAAATGTCATATAGTTGTGCTTTGTGACATTTAAGTGTGTATGTAATTGATATTAACCCTCACTTTCCCCCCCCTTCTCCACCATCTCTCTTCCTTGCAGGACAGCGACATCCAGAAAAAGATTGACCATGAGATCCGGATGCGGGACGGGGCCTGCAAGCTGCTGGCCGCCTGCTCTCAGAAGGACCAGGCGCTGGAGGCGTCCAAGAGCCTGCAGACCTGCAGCACTCGCATCATGGCCTACATGACGGAGCTGCAGAGGATGAAGGAGGCGCAGATCATGCAGAAGGTCACGCGGAGGTCGTCGGATGCAGGGCCGATGGACGACAGACACCCGTGCAAGGGAAAAGTAGCCATCTCAGGCGAGTAAACCTTACCTTCAAGGTCACCTATTTTGCAAAATCCACTTGTTCATGTCTCTTATACATCAACATGTGTCCCCTCTTCAGGAACAAAGATTCTCTCTTTTTGATCCATTTCTATAAAAACCTGTCTGAAAATGAGCTGATCAGATTTTGGCCACTTTATGATGTCATAATGATGTTTTGGCTTGGTAACCATTAGCCAATCAGCAACCAAGGTACCCCCCCCCCCCCCCCCTCCCTATCACCTGAATCTCCTCCAAGAGCACCATTGAGTTCTTTGTAACCAAATATCTCTCAGAGGGGCGTGGGGAGGGGCTCCTTATTTTCATCTAAAGTAACAGACAGAGAATCAGCACTTTTGAAACAGGGCTGAAACAGAGGGGATTATGGGATGCTGCAATGATCTGTTTGGTGTTTCAGCCAATCAGAGACATGTTCTGTATATATCTGAGACCTATAATATATTGATGAAAAACAGTATAATAGGTGACCTTTAATATATTTATTTGGTATATTTTGACATGGACCAGCTGTTATTAAGATCTTGGTGTTCACTTTAATGTTACAATTCAATCCAGAGCTCCTCTTCTCAGGCACAGGCTGAGTTAAGGTGCTGCGCTTTGCAAAATGACAGCGGGCAGTCGGTTGACTGATTATGGAGCTGCTCTGTTTGCATCACTGACGCACTGCAGAGAGATAATTCACACCATGGAAACCAAGACAGGGTTTTCTTTGTTTAAGTTGTTCTTGTTTTGTTTGTTTTTAGAACGTGATGAGAATGTAAAAAAAATAATATTAATGAGCTGTGAGACAGTGGGTGTAGGTTCATGGGTCCACCACTGCATGTCTTGTACCCAGCTAGAGAGCAAACTACACACACACACACACACACACACACACACACACACACACACACACACACACACACACACACACACACAGAGTAATTCGCTATGGACACTTTAGCCATTGCAGCCCACATATGAGTTTGACAGTGAGGCTGATTAACATTTTTGTGGTCTAATCTCTTGTCTCTTGTGGTTACAGATCTTCGTATCCCTCTCATGTGGAAAGACACGGAGTACTTCAAGAACAAAGGAGGTGAGCAGCCACCTCTGTATGCATGTGAAGAATTGATAGAGCATTAATGATTCGCTTCATGGGGAACTGATGTAGCTTTACACATTATGAAATGGAGCTTTACACATTATGAAATGGCTAATTCAAAGATGTGTAAAAGCTTTGTATAATCAGAGGTGAGTGTGGGATTTCTCGCAACTAATCTCCTTTTATCATTGGCAGAGGTTGAAACACTGATATAGATTTTTAGTGTTATATTTTAAAATGCCCCTGACCCATTTAACTGTGCAAACAGACCATACAGGATGGCATTTTCTCTATTCTATGCAGCACAGTTCCTGGAGCTGATCATTACAATCTGTTGCAGCTTTACCACATATCTCCATATTTTCCAGGAACAGATTTCTCGAGCTATGAGAGACTCCTGGCAGCACGACCTGGCCCTCAGCACGGGCTGAGTCCTAAATCACGGAAATTAGTTCGCATTTTACCACATCTGGTTCCCTTTTTCTCAAAGTCGACTTATTTTTTAATGTGATTTATTTGGTTACATGCCTGACAAAAGGTCTGTGGTTAACACAAGCGTAAGAGACATTTAAATGTTGTTATAATGCATCAGTACATTTCCCCCTTCTAAATGTCAAAAGCTGTTGTGTCATAAAAAACTGGCTGTTTCTAACTAGTGAATAAATGAGACTGCTAAACGAAATCACGCTAAATATTAGCCGCCTATTAGCAGTGTTAGCTTATTTTTTTCTGGCAATTTATAAGACGCTTCTAAAATCATAAAAGTTGTGTTATATATGTATATTATCCTGCTGTACAAAATGTATAAGTATCATAAACTTATTTTCTGCAATAACCCAAAATCCCCTTTCTTTTTGTCGAAGGAAGCCCTTGCGATGCTAGCTTCTGGGTTAGCCTAAAAACACGTCATCACTCTGTTATAAAGCCATTTTGAAAAGATCTGTGTTGCATTTGAGGGACTCCTTTTTTCCGTGTAATATTACTGCTGTGAACCATTTCACATATAAATGTTTTTTTTATGACATTAGCATTAAATTGTGCACTGACATTAAGCAAATGGTGATATTTAGATTGATTATCCTCCCCCTCTCAATAGAGTCAATGCGGGTTAACCCCGTGCGATCATTATAACCGTCCCTGAGCTCATTCTCTCCCCTGGCAACTAGAACGGGATTAATCTGCATGACCTGTGCATGTAAATGAACTCAAGAGACAGGTAGTAGACTCTTAACAAAGCTTAATGAGGCTGTTAGTCAAGGTCATTAAGCACACCCATACATAAACTGAGCCCAGGAGGTGAGGACGAGGAAAGCACGCCATTTGCCACGTGTTCAATCACATTTTAAACAGAGCGTTGAGCACATACTCGGAATAACAAGTGTGAGTTTTAAAGGTGGGGTATGTAATTTATATCAGAAATACTTGTTATATTCCATGGGATGCTCTTAACATCCCGATAGCAATAAATACATTAAATGCTTTGACAATAAATACATAAACAAATTGAATCTGTGGATGCCGTGGCGCTGTAAAAAGCACGACCAATCATCTGAGCCGGCCCGGCTAAAGTAACTGGATGGCCTACCTGCCTGTCAGCCTTCCATCTGTGTACAAATGTATCTCGTGCCCTCATTGGTCATGTGCGCGTTCGTGTGTGTTGGAGGAGGGGCTCTGTAAGGAAGTCTGAACGAAGGGGCAGATTTATTTCCGCTGCGTAGTTTCAAATTCTAGCGCACTCGAGCTGGTTTCTCCAAGATTACATACCCCATGTCAATGTGCCATACACAAGGAAGCATATAGGTAGGAGCCTTTTCAGTTGTAATGTTAAATGTGAGGCAAAAGGAATTAGTGATAGTAACAATGATAGTCGACTAACAGGTGCCACATTTTTTTAAATACAACATCATTTTTGGAATATAAATCTTACTTTGATTATAAATGTCATGGTTTCTGCACAGGAATTGACCATCATCCTAGTGAGCTTGCCCAAAAAAGGGTTTTACAGCTTTTTACAATGCCTATTTCCTGAGATCGTTTCTTTACAATGTTGGAATAACGACTGTGAATATTAAGTGTCATTGTGCCATAAACAGGGAAGCATATAAGTGCTAAACTGGGTCATTATATACTACACTATATATATTATTATTTCAACTCATTGGCTACTGTAACATTAAAACCAGGGGACTCAGTTTTAACTACAAAGCAAGCTAACAATACTTCATGGTAATTCTTTGCACAGCTGGTCATTAAGATCAGCTGAAGTGAAACTAACAACAGTGGAAGTGTTTGTCAGCCAGGTGGACGAGCCGCTATTGTTTCAACCTTTAACTGCTCAGGTCATAAGCCCTCTGTAGCCTTAGGGGTAAACATGTTGTTTACTTAGATATACGCGGTGTTTTGGAGCTGAAAGGTAGTTTTCAAGTGATGCAACTGAATGAAATCTCTTGACATGTCACATAAATCACAGTTTTGTTTTCTAACTTTCTTTCTTTCCACCCAACTTTCCTTTGTAGAGCTTCATCGGTGTGCAGTGTTCTGCCTGGTGCAGCTCGGAGGAGAGATCTTTGACACAGACATGGTGATAGTGGACCGGACACTCACCGATATCTGCTTTGACAACACCATCGTATTGTAAGTCATCCATCTCAAAGGATTCAAGCCATTATTTGTCATATGTGCAAAAGCTATGCGTGGTTTTGTCAATTATATGTTTAAGTCTCAAGCTCCAACAACAATGCAACATATGAAATACTTAACAAGTAAAAGACATAAAATAGTGCAATTGACAAAAGCGTTCAAGTTGTCAAGTTGTTGGAATAAAAAACATGTTAAATAGAAAGTTAAACAGAATTGTAATCAGTAAAATAATCCTCTGCAATAACTCTAATTGTTGCAAAAATGTAATTTTCCTCATGTGTGAATACTTGTGCAATATATATGCCGTTAATAACTGTGCCATATATACCTGGCTGCAGTGGCGAACCGTGTCTATCACAACTGGACCTTCTGTAGACACACACCCCCCGCCCCCGCCCCCGCCACCGCCACCCCGCCACCGCCACCCCGCCACCGCCACCCCGCCACCGCCGCGGCATTATAATGTCCGTCTTTTCACTGAATTGTCGTCTTGAAAAGGGTACTCACAACAATTCCGCAACAACTTCATCTTCACCTGTTGCACTTGTCATTTCAACGTTAAAAACAATAAAACGGCATGAATTGCTTCGTCGCATTCATCTAGATCCTCTGTCTCGAGCCAGTAAACTAGCGGGCCTTCTAGAGTACCCTGGAACCGAGGGAAACTCTGAAAGAATACGCCCATTGGCTACAAATCAATATATGATTGGTTGATCAAACTGTCAGTCCAAACGTACGCTCTCATTCAGTGCAACGGCCAGGGCATTCGATCAAGGATGTAGAATGCCTTGTTGAAGGATATTCTACCCAGAGACCCAGAACAAGATCTGATTGGTTGCTTTCTTTTCTAACACAAAACCACTGAAATGCGTAGTGCATGGTCCGAGAAGGACAAACAAATTAACGTAACACTGTAATATTACAGATCAACAACACAGATACGATTCTCATTTATTCATTTTATTACATTTTATTTATATAATTAAATCGATTTTTTGTTTGTTTTATCTGAGTGTTCCAGGGTATTCTCTGAATACCTTGAAGGCCCTGACGGTTCGCCACTGCCTGGCTGCTAAATCCTCAGAACTGGAGGATGTGCACTTTGTAAATTGTGTAACTTTTTTTGTATTATAATTGGTTTATCTTTAACACTTTTGTATGCATGCTTCTTAGTTAACACTAAGCTGTCTTTGGCTTTTTTCTGCTGTAACAATGTAAATGTCCCCTCTGTGGGACTAATAAAGGTATTCTGATTCTGATTCGCAGTAGTGAAGCCAACCCTGGTTTTGAGATGCGTGTGGAGCTGTACAGCTGCTGCTCAGAAGACGACTACTCAGCAGGGAGCACGCCCAGGAAGCTAGCCAGCAAACTGAGCTCGTCGCTGGGCAGATCGGCGGGGAAGAAGTTCAGGTCGGCCATGGAGCCTGGGCCGTGTAGTCCTGTTGGCAACGGGGGGGCAACTCCTCTGCTTCTGCCAGTTCCCTCTGTACCGTAAGTTTAAAACATTTGACAGACTTAGTTGAGGGAGGAAGCTGTAAGAATCTTTCCAATCTGAGGGAAAGGGATTTCATATAGAAAAACAAGTAGCAACACATCTGGGACTAGGAGAGAAGATTAAGAACATTTCATGCCAGAAAGAAAGGAGAAGAAAAGGAGGAAGGAAAAAGGAGAGAGGATGTGGTAAAATCAAGACTCAGAATATGGCACAGTAACCTAAACTGGGCGTTAAGAATTATAGGGAAATATCCATTTGGACTGCAGGAAATATGCACCAAAGATAATAGACGTGATGGAGGGACTGAAGAGAATAAGGGGTGATGTTAAGGAAAGAAAAGGACAGACTGGACTGTGGCGAAGATGGACCAGGGAGAAAATGTTTGGTAATGTTTTTTACCAAATATGAAAACTGGATACTGATAAGGTGGTTGTAATGCAACACTAAGGATACAAGCTGCATTCAAACAAAAAAGAAGGAGAGTAGATTGAGAATAAAGAGTGAAATAATGTTTATTTCAGACACAAAAATACTTAATGGAGTTGTTTTGAGAAAATGGATGCTCAAACCCAAAATAATTGTGTATTCCTTCTCTTGTGTGTTGACAGGGGTCCTAAGTACCACCTTTTAGCTCATACCACCATGTCGCTGTCACACATCCAGGACAGTTTTCGCACGCATGACCTCACCATCTCAGGCAACGGTGAGTGGCAGCCTCCATCAATCTGTCGCCTCTCCATCTTTCTCTTCTCTCTGCCAAATCCGCCATCTGTCTCTTTTTTGTGCTTCACTCGTCACCGTCTCACTTCTGTTCTCAGCACTCTAATAATTTCCCTTAAACCAAGTGTACACTTCCTCCTCCCCCTTCTTCTTCTTATACTTCCTCTTCTTCTCTGTCCCTCCCCCATGTTCTCTGACAGACAGCCATTGTCAAGGTCAAAGTTATAAAGACTGCTCTAGTGAGGTGTCTGCTGTGTAAAGCTGTAATGATGTGGGCTAACAAGGGCCCGGACCCCTCCGACAGACAGGCCCCTAGTGTTTTATTCATTGGCCCTTCAGCTTGCAGTAAAGTTTCATTGCTGCACTTCATGACACTGCCTGCAGCTGCCAGTCTTTTACACCCTTTCCCTTTTATGTGTGCGAGAGGGGGGGCTGTGTGTGTGTGTGTGTGTGTGTGTGTGTGTGTGTGTGTGTGTGTGTGTGTGTGTGTGTGTGTGTGTGTGTGTGTGTGTGTGTGTGTGTGTGTGTGTGTGTGTGTGTGTGTGTGTGTGTGTGTGTGTGTGTGTGTGTGTGTGTGTGTGTGTGTGTGTGTGTGTGTGTGTGTGTGTGTGTGTGTGTGTGTGTGTGTGTGTGTGTGTGTGTGTGTGTGTGTGTGTGTGTGTGTGTGTGTGTGTGTGTGTGTGTGTGTGTGTGTGTGTGTGTGTGTGTGTGTGTGTGTGTGTGTGTGTGTGTGTGTGTGTGTGTGTGTGTGGCCTAGCATTACTATACTTGTGGGGACCTAAATCTGTTTACACAGTCACGTGTGGGGACTCGCCTCCTTTATGGGGACAAATTGGAGGTCCCCATAAGGGGAATCATTAATTTTAGGGTGAAGACTTGGTTAGGGTTAGCGTTAGGCATGTGTTGGTTATGGTTAAGGTTAGGATAAGTCTCCAGGAAATGCATGTAAGTCAATGTAGTGTGTGTGTGTGTGCGCACATGAGTATACATGTTTGTGTGGGTTTTCAATATCATGTGGGAATATTTTATTTATTCATGGTGTTTATTTTTGCCCATCTCTTCTCTTCCCTGTAGAGGAGTGTTCCTATTGGCTGCCGCTCTATGGCAGTATGTGTTGTCGCTTCGCAGCTCAGCCTCACTGTATGACCCGACAGGTGATGAGTGGATGTTTGAAAGTGAAGGTAAGTTGGCAGGTGTGAAAGGGGAAATATCCCTCTCAGGGTTTGAAGAGTGTTTGGCTTTTGTCCTGGTTTATTTCTGTCTTTATTTCTTCCTCCTCCTCCCTTCTCTTGGTGATTCTCTCCATGTCTTTCACTCCACACATGACTGATCTTTTTCTCCACCTCGCAGCAGTTGGGAGGTGAACCTCAGAGTTGGACCAAAGTGTACGGCGTGCTAAAAGGAACAAGCCTTTTCTGCTACCACCGGCAAGAAGATGTGGAGGCTAACGTCGAGCCAGCTTTCACCATCGCCATCAACAAGGTCAGCAATGGAAGCACAACAAAATACCTGAAGTTGATCCTGATTTACAAAATCAATGGAGTTGTTTTGTTGTACGCTTAAGGCATCAGTAGCAAAGATGGAAAGGTATGGACTTGTGATTTGCTGCCAATTTGAATCTCAAGCCAGCTGGTAGACCATGAGCCAAGAAAAAACGAGCTCTTCTCTTAGTAACTACTATTAAAGTGCCTTTCAGCAAGGAACTCATCCCCTAGTAACCCAATGTAGAGCTGCTTGAAAGCCAAGAGGTGGAAACTGGCTCTCAGCTTTCAGGTGTAACTGTGTAAAATGTTCAGCAAGAGTTGAAAAGAGCAGGTATCTCCAGATAAAAGGCTTTGAAGATTTTAAAATGAGATTTGTTCAGGGTGTTCTCCAGTCTTTGCAAACACAGTAAGACACAGTTTTCAGGCTCAACTTCTAATCATATTTATTTTATCCCTCGTCCCGATTTTCCAGGCACAAATATGAATAACATGGGTCCTTGATCATCTTATTCCCTGTGTCTGTGTCGATGCCTGTGGGCCTTCCCATTCCTCCCGTGGTGACTCATTCAGTCTTTTTCTGACCCTGATCTCACAGCTGACCTGAAGCCAAGTCAGACACATCAGACATTGGTTGTCTCTTATTAAGAGTGAGCGAGGGGTGATGAATGGAACAACACTGCCATCTAGTGGTCAAAAACACACTTAGACACATTTGGAATAGAACGAGGATGTGGGAATTGGGAGTCTGCACATTTTGTTGGATAATTGCAGAAGGGAAATGGATTGGAAGAGGGCTAATTAGCGGCTTATTAGTCAGGGGCTTATTTTCAGTGGAGTCTCACATCTATAATTGCTGTAATGATCACTTGTTGCGGTGCATAATTTTGTTCATTTAGGAGTGCTGGCATTCATTCGTGATTGTAGTCATTTTGTATCAGATGATTGTATTCTTTGTCGCTAATTTTTTCAGGAGACCAGAATACGTGCGTCAGAGAAAGACCCTCAAAGTAAAGTTCAGAATATCTGTATCAGTAACCAGTACGGAGGTGAGGAGGTTACACACACACTGACGTCAGACAGCCGCGAGGACACACACCGGTGGATGGAGGCCTTTTGGCAACATTTCTACGACATGAGTAAGTGTTTGCTTTAACATAGGAAGCGTGTGAATACAGTAACTCACATTAACCATAGCTACATAAAGGTTCCCATATCTTGTTGTCGCTTGGTTCGTTAACATTTATTTTTCTTCATAATACAGGCCAATGGAAACAGTGCTGTGATGACTTAATGAAAATTGAACTGCCATCGCCAAGGAAACCGACTCCCGTCACACCAAAACAAGGCTCACTCTATCACGAAATGGGTAAGATTTCACTGTGATAATATCATTGTGAATATGAAATAAAAAAGGATTATTTTAGTCGATAAAATAAGAAACAAAACATAAACGTTGAGGCAGGGAGAGAAAGCATTGCGTCTGCATTGCATGTCACTGTGTGTAGCTTTAATTCCTTTCAGTCTATGTGCATGTGAGATGCTGTCATAATAAAATGTTCCTCTCCGATATCTCGAACTCACACTCTGCTGCTTGACTTCTGTAGAATCGAATCTTATCTCTGACACGCTGACTGTCTGTCTTCTCTTTCTCTGTTCCTCTTTGTCCTTTCCAATTTTCCTCGTGTGTCCTGAATCCATCGCTCCTTTTGTCCTTTTATTATTTCCCCGTGTCCTCATAAATATGTATAATCAACGCCACGTTTTTCATCAACTATCCTTGAGTGATTTCTTTTTCCCTTCTCTCATCATGCCATAACATTCATTTCCTTAATAAACAATAAACCCTTATCGATTTCTCCCGCCACCCTCAAAACACACACTTAACTCCACCTGTTGCGCACCTCCTATCCCCTCCACCCTTTCTCTCTCGCCAACCTTCCCTCTCGGTTTTCCTAACCCCCCCCCCCCCCCGCCAGCCCCTCTTGCCACGCCCTCCTCTGAGGGTCTTCTGCTGCAGGATAACGCTGTGTCTGCTGAGATTCGCGCTCTGCTCTCGTCCTATTACAACGACAGGTGAAGTAACAGGAGTAGGGCTCCATGTAAATGATGTTGTGGTGAATGTTGCAGTCCAGGATTTACTGCAAAACCACCATAAGATCACTGATGGTGGGAATATTATGCAAAACATTAAAGGACAGGATATTTGTTTCATTCATCATTGTAAAATAACTTTAAAAAAAATCAAAACATATTTTTCTTCTTCTTCTTCTTCAAGAATACATTTCAAACTAACATTTTATGAAGTGCAAGTATGTCTATAATCCGTACATAATCCATACTATATATACAATATTAAGAAACAACATTTTAATTATTTCCAAGTCATGGCTGTATTACCAATTCAAATGGTAAGAACTTTTCATTTGAAAACCCATGCTCCAGCCCAGTAAACATCTGTATAATAATGAGTGTTTCTGCGTCCCTCCTGCTGCAGTTATTGAGTCATCTGACGACCTCAGCACGGTGTCGGACATCCTGGCTCGGAGGATGCAGGAGCTGGAGCTCCGCAGCCAGCTGGGCACCTCCCCGAACTGGATGTCTCTGTTTGAGGAGAACAACCCCAAAAGCGCTGGCCGCCCTCGCCCCTGTACTTCCCGCTTCTCCGGCCACAGCCCCTGCACACCTCACCGCCCCCCCCCGCAGCCCTGCGAGCCCCCACCGCTGCCCCCAGCTCAGCCTGCTCTCCTCAGACGCCAGCCTGACCTCGGACAGCGACAGCCACTGCAGCACCAGCCCCTGCTCCCACCGCCACGCCTGGCCCGAGCCCTCCTCAAACTTCCCCCTCCTGTCCTCGTCGCCCTCCCGCCTGAGGCCACGCACCTTCTCCTTGGATGCTAAGCTCAGCACCCTGCGGGGGAGGGGGTTCAGAGGGGGAGGGACCTTCCAGTGCTCCTGCCAGCCTCCTACCTCCTCGCTGCTCGCCCCGCTCCCTGTCTCCTCTCGCTCCCCTCGGTCGCAGCGCAGCACCCAGACCACGCTCTCCTGCTCCAGCTCCACCTCCAGCAACAGCTCCAGCAACAGTGAGGGCCGCCACAGCCCCGAGTCCTCCGAGGGGGCCCCCTTCTCCCGGCCCTCCCCGGCCCGACGCAGCCTCAGGAACCTCAGGGCCAGACTCGATCCTCGCAACTGGCTCCAAAGTCAGGTGTGAAGCGCGTGCTGCCAGACAGACATGTTTAACACTGACCTAAAGGCAACAGTTCTCATTAAATCAAGGTTTAACTGGCTTAACATATGTGAACTGACCTCAGGCAGTCTGTTGGCAACATGCACAGCCCTGAGGAGGATAAGCTGCCTCTGGCCTGCGTCCTGGGGGGGTGGATCATTGAAGACCCTCCTGGAGAAAACTGGAATGTCTTCTATCACAAAGGAAAGGTGACAATCACTGCAGGCGGCACTTTGCTGAAGATGGTCCAGAACTAAATGGGAGGTACTCTGCTTGCTTTGAAAAATGATTATGGTCATGCTGCTTGGGAGAAAGTGATGTTAAGAGCTAAGGACTTCAGATGAACTGTCCACCCTGAAACTAGAAAGGTTTTTTCCCCCCTCTGTATCCTAGCAACACAAACAGGATCATTCAAAATCATCTATAAATGTCACCTGCAGTGTTTTGACTGGATCAATATTTTCAAAAAAATCAAGGTTTGCAGTGTTTATGCTATGAAAGCTAGTGAGCATGAGTCGAGATGAACAGGCAAGACGGCCAAGAGTTTTCAAATGATAAAGTGTGGAGGGAAGCGTTGGTGTCTGTCTGAACTGTGATATCTACTTCAGTGTACGCGTCTAATTATTCATACATGGTTCTCCTAAAATGACTATGCACCATTTTGTTTTTGCATGATTTCACGTTTCAACCATGAATCTGGTGAAAGCTTATGCAAAGGCTCATACACACTGTACTGGTTAATACTGTGATCTCTGGTCTCAACTCCCACACAGGTAACATATCCCTAAATACATAGAAAAATATTAAAATAAAAATGTAATAACTCAACTCAAACTTTGAATGTCATTAAAAACAAAAGGCGTTCTGATCATGTTACTTTAATGCAATATTGTGAGTTTTTTAAGCTTTCCGGTTCCTTATTATAGACATTTCAATAAATGTGAAGCATCCACCAATCATATGTTATAAAACAACTTTTTAAGCATTATGTGAAATTATAGCCAATCAATAGGTCAGAGCAAGCTAATGGTTTACCCTGCCATTTTAATTTATGTAAGAAAACAGTCATCTGACTCAAGGCGTCCGTTGTGTGTGTGCAGTAAAACCTCTTTTACTGTTGGTTTTACTTTAACAGTTTCGTCTTGGGGCTCAGAACTCGGGTGATTATTTTGACTAAGAATACAAACTGTCAAATGTTAGAAAAACAGCATTTGTTACTGTAAATTAATTTTTATAAATTAACAAATAAACCTCCTTTTTTTCTCTTTTGTTACATAATTGATTTTGTTATAAATGCAGCTATATTATTGATACCTGATCATAATGTTAACAGATGATGTGCAGATGTATAACTGTTATGCATAGGTAACATTGAATGTTATAACCTTGCAAGAGTTTCTCCTGTTGGCAGGCTTTGTGTTTGCGCCGTCATAAAGGCGGACATAAAATGAGAAATGTGGAAATCTCCTGTACAAATAACATTAATTATAATAAATGTTTTATCAATACAAGACTGACACTTTTTTTTAACACATCTACATAAAATCAGATGTTTATATTTTGTATAATATACTAGAAAAGCTAGGGGATTGTTATTGTTTTCCACTACGTACACCCGTTATTGCAGTGGGAGAGCTTCCTCTTAAAGGGGCCCTGTTCTTCTCAGTTTCAGCTTCATATCAGTATGTAGTGTCTCTACTGGGACATGTCTCTATGCTTTAATGCTCAAAAAGCTCTTTAATTCTCTCATACTGCCAGTACTGCAGCACCTCTTTTCACCCTCTGTCTGAAACCAGAGCCCAGTCTGCTCTGATTGGTAACTGGCCGGCTCTGTCGAGATGTCCTGCCCCTTAATCTATCACGTACAATGTGTTGGAGAGCTAGCCTATAGAAGCATGAGTGTTACAAAGTGATGTCACTATGTTCAGGAAGTGAATAAATTAGTCCAATGGAGGCATTTCAGACGGGGGGGGGGGGAGAGAACCTCAGGGATGTTAGCCTTTTCAGACCTTTTACATGCATAAAAACCGATAGAACACACTGCAGGAAAGTGAAAACTCCAATAAGCACAACAAGGCCTCTTTAGAGCTCTGCACATCGGGCAGGTGATGGATCCTCTTCTATCAACGTGTTTTTTTTTCCTTCCACCAAATAATCCCCAAGGAGAACCCTTCTAAAGACGACCGATAAAACACCATGTGCAGTTGTCTTGTAGATTCAAAAAGAAAGGCAGGTAGAACAGAGGCTTTATTCTCATTGTTTATATACCAAAGCCTTATATCTGTCAATAGTACAAAGCACTGTTACAAACATTCGAGGTAGTCGACAGCGAGTCTTCACTGAGCATTGTAAAATGCATAGAGAGATACTATGGCCATATTGACTCTGCTTCCTGTTTGCAGTGCAGAGTTTTACCATTGTTGTGCTATTAATAATTTAAATGCTCAAAGTATAAAAAACCATATTAACAAATACATATCGATTAGTATAGAACAGAATCACATAAATACTTTATATTGTATGCTTCATATGGTGCTGATTATTGACTTATGTAACCCAAACAGGGCATTTAACACAAAGTTTGGCAATTCAGTGATATACGTTGGATTACATAAGTAAATGAACAATGATACATCGAGATACAGATAAATGAGGGTGCCCTTCATATTTAAATATCTTTCTTTGTGTACTTGTGCTTCCTCACGCTCCATGGTCCCCTCTCCTCAGCAGGCACAGCGGGGGTTAAACGCCCGCAGCGCCACCCCGGCCAGAGTTCCCCAGGCGAACGTGGAGAACTTTGCAGGGCACGTGCCAGCTCTGCTGATGTATGACGATGCTATCCGGTGCAGCCGCTTCGCACCGAAGGTGTTGTAGTGTCCTGGGAGGACTTGGTCCACCTGTAAAATGAACGGCCAGTTGTTAAACACTTATAAAAGGATGTACAGCACATGCTATATGAACACACAAGCCATAAGCAGTGTCACAATCGAGTGTCATTTCTCTGGGTTCTGAATGGATCTGAATTCTGTATCTTCATCTGCAGCTCCTTCACAAATGCTGGTAAATCTTGATTGAGGATTAACCCGCAAAATACTTAATAACTATATTTCAGTTTCTGGAAAAATGTAGGTTGTACATAAAGTATGAAATCTCATTAATACAGAGGGTAGTTAGTGAAAACAAATCACCCTAAAATGTACTTACATAAGAGGACCATGACATGTTCATAATATGAAAATAATACAATATTTTGACAATTGGATTAGATACTTTATGGATCAAAGTAGAGCTACGAAGACTCATCAATACGTTTTCAGATTTAAATGAACCATGTTGCTTATCAATGTATTAGAGTAGTTTTTAAAGAAAACATGTAAACAAAAGTTTGAATCCAGCTTGTAAAATGTAAATATGTTCTGGTTTATGTACTCCTCAGTCACATACTCAAAATATATTTGCTTTGTGGAAACAAAAATAAACTCTTTGGCAAATACTAATGAACGCTTTTCAGCATTTTTTCAAACAAAGATAACCAGTTCACTCGACAATGAAAACAACTATGAGCTGAAGTAGCAGATACAGTCTGTCTACCCTCAGCTGTGTTTGAGTGTCACCTGTTCGCTGTCCACCAGCCCCACCAGACGCTCACAGCTGCTGATGTAGTCACTGACGTGGCTGTAGGGCAGCCAGTCAATCATGGCGCCGTCATACACTACATCTCCACTGAAGAGCATCTTATTGTCCCGGTCGTGGAGGCAGATGCTGCCCCGCGAGTGGCCGGGCATGTGGAGCACGTTCAGCTGTCTGTCGCCCAGGTTAATGACATCACCTAGAAAGACAGAGAAGGAGAGATGTTTACAAAATAATTGAAAGATCCTAACACAATCGCATCCCACTGCTAAGCGCAGTGGCGGAGCTGGGGGGTGGCTGGGGGTGGCCGTGGCCACCCTCAGCTGAATCGTGGCCACCCTATTGGCCACCCCAAACACTCTCACCACGGGGGCCCAAACTATTTTAGAACATTAAGAAAAAAATGTTTAAGTAACCTTTCATCATTCATCAAGAATTAACATTAATAGGACGGTATATCGATAATGTAAAGTACTCACTAAACTTACAATTCATTTCACTTAATTGCTTCCAAAAGTTAATTATCCAAAGCCTCTGTACACCCCCTTCTATTTACATGTAATGGTTTGGTCCTGCCTCCAAACGCAGTGCAGCACCGCCGGCACTTTCTAGCAGAGACTAGTGTGAGCATGTGAGGAGCAGGGATGCTAGTACTTACGTGTGTACGATGTCTCAACGACTCACAAAGTCAGGCTTTCAAAAGAGAAAAGAAAGGAGAGAAAAACAAGAGAGAGGGACTAAAGGGCGACAGTATGTCACCCAGTTTTTCAAAAGAAAAGGTGGGTGTGGTCCATGAGTGGTGGAATTGTGTCTGTTAGCTAAGCTTAGTCCATTGTAAATAATAATTGTTATGTTTTTTTTTACTAAGCTGACATTAAGTACCTTTAATATCTATATAGGTTTTTAATTGCACTGCTCTTTTAGCTGACATTTAACAAATGCAGGTAGATTATTAGCAGCTATACTAAATCAGTTGTCCCTCCCCCTGGTGCCAGGACCAACAGATCCATCTCTAGGCTCAGCAGCCCTGTACCCCCATAAGGCTGAACCTGAACCAGCTTTTCTCCCAACTGAAGGAGGTGAGCAGCATTGTGTTGAATGCCATGCCGCTTAACATATCTGAAGGGAGACTGGAATACAAAATATATATATATATATATATATATATATCAAAACAAAAAGCTAGCATCTAATTTCAATTACACATTTCAAACACAGTATTTCCCCACATATGTAAGTTATATTTATTTGTATTTATGCATTCATGTTGAGAATGTTCCATTCAAAAATGTCATTATTAAAAGGCATGTACACCATAAAAGATGACTATTGAGATCTATTGTCAGAAATGTTAGTCTTATATTAAATAGTGAATTCTACTGCAGCAGAATGTTGCACGTCTGCACAGTGTTATATTTTCACAGCTCAGTGTCAGTAAATATTGTGCAGTTAGTATTGGACTACAAGATAGATGCAAGCCTGCACAGGTAGAGTTATTTAAAGCATAAATGAGTGGTTGGGTTCTGGAGGTGTGGTTACAGCAGTGCTTGGTTGGCGTGGCCTGGTGGTGGGGCCCAATGTGATATATTTTCATGGGGCCCAAAGTCCCTGTCGTGTATGGCCAGAGGGCAGGACCTATAACACATTTACTACCCAATAGCATTGTGAGGCTGAACAAAGGGACCTTTTGACTATGTAAATGTATAGTATAACATTTACTGACTTTTTTAGGATAGCTTAAAGTAATGTTGTAAAATTACAACCGGGGGCCTTACAGGGTTAAGGGCTATTGTTTATTGTTATTTAATTTAAGATGTTTATTCTTAACCTATCATTTAATTTAAAACTCTTATTTAAATGATGTGTGTGTGTCTCTGTATTCCTGATGATACACTGAGAGAATGAGCTCATAGTGCTGCTGATCACCATAAGCTAAACAGTCTGTATATTGCATTACATTTGTATAATGTAAGCTTCGTTGATACTTCGCCTGCGGGAATACGAAATAAATTGTTAGATATACTGAATATTATTTGATCTATTCCACCACTTGATCCCAAATAATGTAGAGGTGTGTTGTAGGTGCCTTAAATAACCCCTTATTTTATAGTGAGATGTATTTTTATGTTCATATAATAGTGATTTCAATGCCACCCCAAAATGATCACTGGTTCCATCCTGGCCACCCCACTGAAAATGTCCTGGCTCCGCCACAGCTAAGCGTATATCCAAACCTCATGTTCCTCACAATGTGGCTGACTGGAAACAAGCCAGGGTTCTGTTTGTGTTTGTTGCCACATATCACCATGTTGTGCAGTTCAGGACATTCAGTAACTCATTGATTTAGTAGTTTAGAAGTTGCACAGAAAGGTGAAACTGAAATACCAGGCAATGAGATATCCAACTGCACTGCAGCAGTGGCTCTGACACAGCAGAACAAGTCGGTGCATTGACTGACTGTTCATACATTACACAAACACATCCTTAGTAATATAAGCTTCATGCAGCATTTATGATGCAATTCATGTTAAATTGCAGAGACATTTGCCAGAATGTGAGTTTTATCTATAGGTGTTGTGGTGTATATCGGCAAACAACACAGTGGGTTATGGATCAATCAATGCTGGGGTGTTAT